TGAGGATAATGGAATGTCACCCAATCTTTCTAGTGTGAACACATGTATAAAGTATTCAATCAGGGTGTTTGCTGCCCTTTTATCATCTAATATAACTTTGTTAGTCTCATCTTTTAAGAGTCCTACAGAATTCTTAGTTTTGGTTTTACTTTGTAAATAGGCATAGAATGACTTTTGAATCTTCCTTTATATTTTGGGCAAGGTTTCTTTCATAGTTTCTTTTAGCTAATCTAATTTCCTGGGTGGCTGAATTTAATGCCCTTTTATATATCTCATAATCTATGATGTTCATCGTGGATTTATACCATTCGAGAGATTCTGTTTAGTTAACAAAGCTCTTTTTTACTACTTGTGTCATCCATCTAGATCCCTTTCTTTTCTTTCTCCTTTTTGGCACATATCTTTGAGTTTAGTAATAACATTTTTTAAATTTTTTCATGACGCTTCCATGCCATGATCACCTATCAACTCCCTCTAGGTGGTCTTTTGCAATTCCTCTCTCATTCCTTAATAGTCGCCTTGACGGTAATCTAGAAAGTCATCATCCTGGACCTTTACGTGACTTTCTAAAATTGTATACCATCTTAGAATATTGTGATCACATGATGGGGGTGAGCTTTTCCCCTTCTTGAATTTGATCAATCATGCTCTCTTCATGCTATGGAGCATGAAGAACATTGTTTTAACACTTTCGCGCTCTCGGCGAAGGTCACTCAGCCAACCGTATGTGCGCGCTGCGTTTTTATCGCTTAAGCGTAAAAACAATAATGTGTATACTCTTTTTACTTTTCTGACCTTAGTTTTTATGCTACGTATTTCATTTTGGTACCAACGTGTTCGCAATAAAATTCTCTAAAAGAACATCAGTAAAAAAAGTCACGAAAGCTATAGAGATACCAGCATGAAATAAATAACTACGAAGATGAGTCGCCGTGAGCGCTCGACAGCAACAAAATGTTTTTACTCTTGGGATTATTATCACCTCTACAATTGTCCTACAGCCTTAATTTTGGTATCAATGGACTCCCAATAAAATTCCCAACACGGTGATATGAATATAATCGTAGAATAATGGTCCCGGCCCACCCGCAAGAGTGTGGGAAGTGGGCGCTCTGTTACCCGGTAACGGTGACCGGACGACATGCGCGCGAAACGTTGCTTTGAAAGTTTATACTTATTTCACTGTTCTGATATTATTATTGTATGCATGTCATTCATTTTTGTGGCAATGTTTTCGCAATAGAATGTTCTATGAGCTAAATTATACTACACAAACTTGGACCAAATAGGTGTACTTACCAAGGGAAGGCTGGTTGTGGACAGTAAGTTGAGCATTTGTTCTTCACTCCACCTTCTTCAGGTTCTTCATTCCTGAAGTTGCTCAACAGATGGTTTGTAGGTGGAGTGAAGCTGTTGTGGGTGGTTACTTCTTCACCACCCAATACACCTGTTTCCGGTGGTAATTGGTGTAGCAGGGAACAACACAGAGTGCAACACCACAGGTCTTGCATCCATAGTTCGTGTCCTTCCTTTTACCGGACCGTGCGCATGCATGACACTTGAGACATTTGGGCAGTCTGTAAATTTCATGTTTCAGTTTGTAGTTCATGCGATTTTCTGAATCAACAACAGGGCGGCCAGGTCCTCTCGCTGGAGGTGTAACAGGAGTTGCAGGAGAGTCGGATTCATCTGACAAAACAGTTTCGTCAACTGGCAGTGTGGCAGACATGTCGGGTTCAGATTCATTGTCTGCTTCATCTTGAGGTGATGTAGTGAACAAAGGCCGCCTCACACCAGATGGTCCAGGAGTTGGCATGGCGTCAGCATTGGCAGGAGCTGTGTCATCATTTATGTCTGGAGCGTGCCGCAAGTGTTGAGATGATGATGTTGTTTTAGGCCGCCACTCTGTGTCCCAGTGCAATAGGGCCCAGATTGCCACTTCGTAGAACTGTAGCAATGTTAGCTTTTTTCGATCAGTTGTGTTGTATTTGTACAAAACATAGGCATTATGCAATGCCATTTGCAGGAAATAAAAGGTAATCTTTTTGGTCCACTTGTGAGTTTTCCTGGTAAAATGGTAATATTTAACCATTTGATCGAAGTGGTCCACACCTTTCATGAACTTATTGTACTCGCAAATTGCAGTCGGTTTGTTCACTGTTACCTGTTGTATTCCACTTGTTATTCCACTTGTTATTCCACTTGTTTACACTATAATCGTTGTGGGTTCCAAAATCTTCCTCCAATACCTCTACATCACCTTCAGCTTCTGATAAATCCTCCACAAGGCCTGGAATTTTCGTTGGTGTGAGCTTCACTCCGCTCCACTTCTTAAAAATTTGGGTTATTTTGTCCACTCTCGATAACCTGGAGGCTTCCTTGGGCGTAGAAGTGCTTGGGCCTTGACCTTGATCCATTTTTGATGAAGTAATTGGGTATAATCCACATGGAAACGGGTAAAAATGCTCGAGTTTGGCGCGCGAGGGGAGCGTGCGACACGTGACACGAAAACAATGGGCCCGTCACGTGACCGGGTAGGCTGACGCGCCAGGCGGCCTAGTGGTGAGAAAGAGAACTTCATGGTGCGTCGTTTGAAACAAACCCCAAATGAAATTGGATTAAAATTGAATTTTATACAAATATTTTAAAAGAAGACATAACTTTATGTCCACTATGCGTTTACGTTAGACGAAACCGGACGCGCCGGCGCGTCCAGATAGCGCGAAAGTGTTAATTCAAGCGTAAATGCGAGAAATATTAATGTTCGTGACAATAATTTGTTTTATGAATGCGGGACGCGGCGTGGGTTGAGGAAGCTTGCTAGTACACGTGGAGAGCCGCTCGGAGGCAGACCTGCTCATACCGTACTCATAAGGAGACGCCTTTGCCCAGCCATTAGGGTAGACGTTATCCATCCTCAGATGAAAGTCGCCACTGTGAGGCGTGAATAACCTTGCAGATAATATCTTCAACTGGTGCTGGTGTCAGATAAGGAACCTCTCTAACCTGGTTCTTGACTACACGTGACCGGCCAGTGAAGCGCGCCACGATCCAGGATAGGCTTAGCCGGAGCCTGGGGACGCGAATTTCGGCAATCTTAAAACTTATACAGTGCCCTTTCAGCTAAGTATATTCCCTTTATGTGATGCATCTTGTAAAGTGTTTTGTAGTAGCTGGGTGATTGACCGTTACGACGCACGATAACATCTAATAACAGGTTATTAAATTTGTCACCTGTAACTCTCAATTTCTTGAATATAGAGATTCAGTAGTTAAATTAGTTGCTACTGTAAATATTTGTCTTGCAGCACGTGAGAAGAATTCTCCCTGCCGCCTTCTCCCATATTAATCCGTCCCATTCGTCAGCCAACCGAGTCCAGAGAATTAGAGGAAACGTCGTGGCTTACCTAAAGGAATCATCTTTAAGCTAAGATTCTTTATATTCATTCATGAATTTATTACAATTATTTATATGCAGAATTCCTCAGGATTAACATGTGTTTATTGTGACTCTCATTACTATACTTATAATCTATGTTCCCATTCATGGTAATGACATTAGTTTCACTATAATTCATAGGATTAGATTATTATTATTTGGATTAGTGAACGAACCACACTAGTTCCTGGACGTACTTACCTCCAGTAATAACCCCCCAATGTAGGTGTTTGAGGGTTAGATTCATTTAATTATACAGCCCATTAATTGTTTCTATGATCATATTCTCTAGTATTTTATCCATAGTTACTGGTTCATCTAGGAATTATCTAATGATCAGAAATTCTCAGTTTCCCTCTTTACTATAAAAGCGGGTGGTCCTTCGTAATTTAATTTACTACATTAATATTTAAATAATCAGATTCAAGCCCCAAATATCCCACAAACATTGTGTAAGGACCGTATGCGTCGCTTTCCAACTTCAGACTTGCATTTAATTACATAGATGGTGAAATGCTAAAAAAACTGTTCATTACTTTTGTGAGACCAAAATTGGAATATGCAGCAGTTGTACAGTGCTTAGATCTCAAGAAGCACATCAATTAACTGAAAAAGGTGCAAAGACATGCTACACAATGGCTTTCATAACTGAAAAACAAGAGTTACAAGGAGAGGCTAGAGGCAGTAAATGTTAAAACTAGAAGATAGAAGAAAAAGAGGTGATAAGATCACTACTTACAAAATAATAACAGGAATCGACCAAATTGACAAAGAGGCATTTCTGAAACCAGCAACTTCAAGAACAAGGGGACACAGATTCAGGCTAAGGAAATAATATTAGAAAAAAAAAAAAAAAATGAGAACATTTTCTTTTGCAAACAGTGGTAAACAATTGGAACAAGTTAAGTGAGAAGGTGATGGAGGCCAAAACCATCAGTAGTATCAAAGCGTTACTTGACAGAGCATTGGGAAGACGGGACACCACGAGCGTAGCTATCATCCTGTAACTACACTTAGGTTATTACACTTAGATAATTACGTCAAAATATGAACTTGTGGTGGAGCAGCCGGCTGATCCAGTCTGCATCTCTGCTCCCCACAAATGAAGGAGGGAAAAAATGGTGCATCCTGGGTGTGCTAGTTTTACAAATATTTGATATTTTGTTTACATTGTTAGGGGAGTTCTTATTGACAGTTTTGAGGCTGTGGTCTCATTTCTAATCAAGCAGTAGTCTGTTTCTTTTTTGTTAACTTTCTGGGTGCCTTCCTTTGGTGGTGGCAGACATGAATAACTTTATATAAAAGGTGTTCATGGTGTCACCGCTTCTGCGGCTCTCTGAGGGGACCAGGTGCTGGATCGTGGTCCTCTGTAGGCCAATAAGAACTGTGACTAATAGCACCTAGTAGTATGGCAATGTATCAGTAATAGCTTCAGGGAGCCACAAGGGGCTTCCCCAGAAATGGCTCTGAAATAATGGAATCATTAATATGAAGGACAGATGCAATACCAGAGTATTGGGATGGTAGAATTAACAGTAGAGATATATTATCTCAAACTCACCTGTTTAGCAGCACGAATGACTCTACGGGCCTCAGAACTGGCCTCCTTAAATAAAACATGAGATTCTGGAGTTTGCTTCACTCTGTACTTTTTCCAGGCCGCTCGCTTATAGCGGATAGCATCCGCACAATCCGAGTTCCACCAAGGAGGATAAATTTTCGTACCACTGGCGGTAGTAGAGCTTGAGATGGAGCAGGGTGCAACCTCCGAGGTAGAGCTTAGGATGGAGCAGGGGGCAGCTTCAGAGGGAAAGCTTGATATGGAGCAGGGGGCAGCTTCAGAGGGAAAGCTTGGGATGGAGCATTCGGGAGTCTTAAGATAGATTACCTAAAGAAGAGAAAAGTAACAGGAAGATGCATTATGCAGTTCACAATAAATAAAAGGTAAAAAGTTTTTAATGTGCCCTGTCAAAATTCCACCTGGATGAATGCAGAGGTGAAGTAAAAAATTTTGTGGGACAAGAAAATGGCTTATACTATGGCTTATACTATGGGCCGCGGGGACACTAAAGCTCCGAAATCATCTCAAGATAACCTCAAGATGGTCATCAAGGACCTGCCAATCTAGTTACAAGTACCGAATATGGAAAAACTGCCAAAAGATCAAAGAATTTAGAAATGTGTGTGTGAAATCTTAATACATACATGTATCAAGTCATCCTTATTAATTTTAGTTAAACACCAAATTAAAAAGAAACAACTTATTATGCAATCTTCATTTTGTTGCACAAGATACAGCAATCATTGTTGAATAATTTGGTGTTAACATAATATAGTAAGAGCTCAGTAAACCAAATAAATTTGTGTATTTTTTCAAGTAGGAGCAGCCGGGTAAATGGCAAGAGCAGCTATGTAAATAAAGGCAGAAACTGGGATGTGGAACAAAAAAATTTCAATCAGATCATTTTTGGACATTTCTGGTATAAAATTAAGTCAAATGTTCGGCTAACTCAAATGTAGTTGGACCCCACATGGTTCAGATTAACCACTTAACTGCACCAACCGAGTTTTCTCGGTCGGCGGGAAACTGCACCAACCGAGAAAACTCGTTTTGATTTTTCGTAACCAATTCTAAATGTGTACGAGGTTGGTTGTGTACGAAATGAACTCTTAGGACCTCCAGTGAGAGGCAGCCATCTTGGAAAAAAATCCCAGAATGCCCTAGGGCTGCTGGCTGGGTTAGTACTGAATGAGCAACCGTGGGTGGCGCATGCGCCTCAGGCTTCTAAACACCTGTCCGACGTGGTGTTGAAAGATAACGCTGTCGGTGAAATTCAAACCTTATTGTTTGAAGAACATAAGGGTCATAATATTGGGGAAGCCAGGCGCAATAAGGACCTAACACAAAGGTCGGATGCAAGTGATACAGCACCTATGAAGACGATATAGCGAGCGTATCCAGTTGTAGCTCTGAGCATCACTCTTGCAATACTATGCTATTTATTTAGATGATACTTAGATGAATCTTTTCTGCATTCAGTAATGATGCATCTGATACAAATAGCATAGATGAACAGTGTTAGCGGCTTCCATGGTGGTGTTTTCCATAGATATTTTCAAGAATACCTGAATCTCTTCCCAACTGACGGACACTCTTGAGGCTAGCTGAATCTCTTCCCAACTGATGGACACTCTTGAAGCTAGCTGAATCTCTTCCTGATTGACGGACATTCTTGAGGCAAGCTGAATCTCTTCCTGTGTGGGATCATACAAAGCGATCTTTTCAAGACTTCCTTACAAACTGATCTTTTCCTATAATCTTTTCAATACTACCTTATGCTTTACAAGCTTGGTTACATACAACCTACAAGTTCTAAAGCCAAGGGTGTACGTGAGTGCATTATTTGCAACACACAGAAGAAACAGGAAGCGAAAATTTATCTGTACCTGGTGCACTGAGAGCGAAGTCGCGCTGTGTACCATGGGCTACTTCGTTGATTATTACTCACTTCCGAAGTACCGAGTGTGTAATACAGTGTGTTACTGTGTAAATAGTGTGTGAAACTGTACATATTGTAATTTTAGTGATATTTTTAACAGGTAATATTGCAACTATAAACATTTATTGTGGACACATTACTGACACATGTATCACAGTTCCATGGAACATTATGAACGTTCTACTGTATACATATTGTAAAGGACACAAATATGCATCATATACAATAAAAAAAAACAAATAAAACCGCATTGGAAATACACAAAACAAATAATTAAAAATATATTTGTGGCAACACCCGGTGCTTGAATGGCCCGCGCGACCGTGTCTGGGCGAGTCACGCACGGGCGACCAGGCCCTGATGACGTCACAGTGCATCTTGTCCACGTCCCTACAACCAAAGTAAGTGGAATTTGGTACTTATTTTTACATAGACATGTTCAGGGAAGGGAAATTATCATTTTACGAAGAAAAAATAATTTTTTGGGAACACTTCATTTCATGCGCACCGGGGAAATTTCTCAATAAACTCCGCGCAGCACGGTGGTTAACGAGTACAGTACAACTTCTATTCAACGTGCCATATGGGACCAACCCCAGTGCGTTGGATTCGTTGTAAGTGGTGACCTTCAGGAGGCGTTTGTCTTTTTTTTTTCTTGTAAACAGTAAAAAAAAAATCATCATACTATATACTGTACCTATATATTACTACTCTACTAAAAAATACTGTGTTAGTTTCTATTTACCTTATTGTTAGAATTACAGTATGCCCATCTTGAATTCTCATAGAGTTGTAAATACTGTACAGAAAATGGGTATTGTGCTGTATGTTGAGTACTACAATACAGTTTATGAAAACTATCGGACACTAAAATTACAGTACTGCAACCTAATCTTAACAATTTTACACTTGTTCTAACTGTACACTCCACACACAATGTTCTTTGATGTTTGCATCAGGTTTGCTGGTGCTCGCTGCTGCTGTGTTTGCTTCAGCTGCTCTGAGCTGGTGATGGGTACGGCTGTGCTGGTGCTGGATACGGCTGTGCACGTGCTGGGTACAGGTGTGCTGGTTGATTTTCTGCTACTAGTTCTTGAAAAATCTTGACTACTTTTTGTTTCCTTCCTTCCTTTTGTTATGTCCTTGTGACAAATATCTTTCATCATCCTTAATTGTTGATAAAAGCCTGGAAGCTCTGGATTGTCAGTTTGTGAGACAATATCAAGGCGTTTTTCAAAGTAGAACAATGCATCAGCACACGTAGCAGATTGTAACCTGCTATCATGCTCATCCTCATCTTCCTCTCCGTCACCGTCAACAGTGCCAGTAACATTTTGTATAATCTCATCATCTGTTAAATGACCAATACCTGGTTGATTACCTGGTTGATGGGGTTCTGGGAGTTCTTCTACTCCCCAAGCCCGGCCCGAGGCCAGGCTTGACTTGTGAGAATTTGGTCCACTAGGCTGTTGCTTGGAGCGGCCCGCAGGCCCACATACCCACCACAGCCCGGTTGGTCCGGCACTCCTTGGAGGAATAAATCTAGTTTCCTCTTGAAGATGTCCACGGTTGTTCCGGCAATATTTCTTATGCTTGCTGGGAGGACGTTGAACAACCGCGGACCTCTGATGTTTATACAGTGTTCTCTGATTGTGCCTATGGCACCTCTGCTCTTCACTGGTTCTATTCTGCATTTTCTTCCATATTGTTCACTCCAGTACGTTGTTATTTTACTGTGTAGATTTGGTACTTGGCCCTCCAGTATCTTCCAGGTGTCCAATGGGTGGATCAACTGCATCCAATAATAAGTAATTTCTCAAATAGCAGATGTCTATCATATTACAGAATATTTTGGGTTATATTTAGTTTACTTTAATTAGGATAATAAAAAACTATTAAAACACTGGTTTTGTAAATGATTTATTAATCTGAAACTTTTAAAGTCATGGGTCACTAAACTACGACAGCACAGACAAAGGAAAACCAAGCGACGGCAGTACAGTACAGTACAACCTCGATTCAACGTACCCCGATTCAACGAATCTCCGGCTAGTTCGCACACTTTTCAGGCCGAATTTACTCACCCGGTTCGACGAACAATGGTTCGTCGAAGCGAGGGATGTTCGGATTTGCTTACGATGTCCAGACAGAGTTCACAGACTGGTGGAAAACTTTCCCATTCTATAACAGATTACAATTAATAATTCTCTCATATGACAAGTTGAATCACACAAGTGGATCACACAAGTGGACCACACAAATGGACCACACATGTGGACCACAAGTGGTCCACAAGCTTACGATTTTGGGACAGAGTTCACAGAGTGGTGGAAAACTTTCTCATTCTATCACAGATTACAATTAATAATTCCTTCATAAGAAGTTGGATCACACAAGTGAACCATATGAACCAAACACCAGCCAAAATGGTCCACACAAACACCAGCCAAAATGGTCCACACAAACACCAGCCAGTGATCCACACAAGTGAACAACTGAGTTTCCATGATTTTCGTTCACTGATTTGGGGCACACGTATCTTTGTACATTAATTTAAAGGATGAAGCGTGATTACCTAGCTACATGTGGTAAAATCTCCTTATAGACATTTTCTGTGATGAAACAAGATGAGTGAGGGTGGACAGATAAGAGAATACTATACTGTAAACCTCACTTTACAGTGAGGTTTCACTCACTTTCGTCTGTGTGTCGTCATAGTTCAGTGACCCATGACTTTTGAAAGTTTCATATTAATTAATAATTTCTAAAACCAGTGTTTTAATAGCTTTTTATTATCCTACTTAAACTAAACTAAATAAAACCGAAAATATACTGTAATATGATAGACATCTGCTCTGAGAAATTACTGTATGTTATTGGAACAACTCTAGCATGAGTGGACGGGTCTAATCCCTGTACACACACCATGCTTGTTTCATCCCTCCCTCCCTCCCTCC